TTCATGCCAAACACGTACTTCAATTAAATCTTAGCTTTCCTTGGCCCATATTTCATTGCTTTTATGAAGATTTGCTGATTTACCATTATGGCCTTATGGGTAGGTGGTTTGAAAATAGTTACCCGGTTTTTTTTCAATACTTCAATTATTATTTGGTTTTGTTTTTACTAATTAATAAAAAGTAATATTATGATTATGGTAAATTACCAGGTTGTATTTATTTATTTTTTCTGAAAGTGATTTGGGCATAGTTTTTGAACCGTCTTTGATTTGGATAGTTGCGCCATTTAGCCCAAAACGCATCCAGTCAATCAATTCTGTATCACCCCTAACCTAGTATTATGTCAAAAAAACATTAACTCCATCAATGACCTAATGATCCAGGCAATCGAACTATTCACCCGATGAATAGTTTTTAACTTTTTTTTGTTTTAATTATTTTTATTTTTTTAGTTTTTAAAATGTGATGGGTCATCCAAATCCAAATACCAATGGCCAAATCTGTTCTGGTTTGTTGTCGGTTTTTAAAACATTGTACTTAGACAAATCCTTATGTTATTTCGAAATGGAGGGAGGGGGGGAGCGACACGGGACACCTACAAATTAGACTTGCCTCGATTGTATATTTGGATCCGATCCTTGATGTCCACATTTATTACAGTTACACATGAAGAACATCTCATCTTATGGAAAGGGGAGATGTTCCTAATTCACGGGAGATAGTGTGTTGTGGATAGAGATGGGCAGGAGATCCAGAGCCATTGCTAGGGTGTCTCAATTTCCTAACTGGACTGGGTTAGACTCGGAACAGAGTTGAGACAAGGATGTAAGGGGTGTTGGGCTATGTAGGCCCAGAGATTGGAACCGACGTATAGGCCCATTGTACTTGCTAATTGTTGGCAAGTGACAGGTAAATGAACTTGCAAGCCAACTGGCTTGAGAACAAGAATCCATTATCCGTGCAGCTATCTTTATATCTGTATATTTAAAAGTTTTATATATTCCGTTTAGGCTCCATTTGATTGCAACCTTTTCATAGAATTAGAAGATATTATTTTACGGTATTTAGTTACACTGGAAAATAAAGTTTTCCTAAAAAGTAAAAATTAGTTCTTGGAGATGAAATTGCTTCTGATATTGACTTCTTAAGTGAAGTCATTTTCCAAATGGAGGAGACCTATTATTACTAGAAGGTTACCTCCTTTGTTTTATGTAAATAGGTTACTGGCTAATAAAACTAACTGGACACCTCACTCAATTATGTATTTATTTGTTTTGTTTGAAGAGATGAAATCAATCCCCCACAACATCCCACAATATATTCCCACTGTGTATTGGAAACATCTCCCAATGATAATAACAGAAATGATGTTTCTAATACATAGTAGGGATGTGCTGTAGGACGTTGTGTGGGGCTGATTTGATCTTTTATTTTAAATCTTTTGAACTATTGATTGATTTTAAGGGCCTGTTTTGAGCCAAGAATCACTTGTAGATGAAATCTTGAAATGTTTTAGAAACATTTTGTACTCATAATCTATAATTATAGATGAAGCCCATGATTTTGACCATCCCAAAGACATAAATCTCACCATCTAGGAGTGCAAATTGGGATGGATTCAGTCAGTCAGATGGTTGAGGTTAATCCCAACCCAACTCAAGCTGTGGAACCCTCAACCCTAACCCTAATCCAATGTTAAATTTTCAGGTTGGGCTTGAGTTGGCCTCACTTCTCTATTTCCTTTTTTCTAAATGTTCTTAATTTGATATCAATTTAGTTTTGGCATTATTATATGCAAATGAACATAGTTATCATGTTTTTGAAAAAATTTTCCTTTAAATAAATACATTAATAGAGAGACATAATTACACATATATATATACTTTGTGTATACATACATTTATGCGAGTACTTGCATAAATAAATGTTATCATAATAAGAAATCAAGTCACGTTTGAGTTAGGTTGAGTTAGCCAAGGTCTGCTGATGTCTTAAGATCCTTTCCAAGTGTTTTTGTATTTGCTTGGTCTCTTTGGGTTTGGTTTTATTAGACAAAGTATATGATATGGTTAGAATTTGAGTAATAGTTTCCATTTCAAGGTCCAAATATGAGGGATTGAATTTAATGCCATAAATGGGATGGGAATTATCCAATCCAATGTTTTAAAAAGTGAAAGCTGGATTGGACTATATCTGGTTCAACCAGTTCATCTGGCCGCTTGGAGTATTAAAACCTGGTACTATCATGCAAACTGATGCCACTATCAAATCAGTTGAATCCCGGTTGAATCAATCGAACCATGAACCCTTCTGCCACAATGCCAGTTTTCCAGGTCATCCGATTTGTTCAAACATTTTTATTTATTCAGGCTGTGTTTGGTTTGAAGGTAGGGAAAGGAAGGATAGGTTAGGATAACCTGCCTACAACGTGGTATTAACCTTGGGATAAAACCATGAATCACAGCCTCTGATTATATACAACCAACATTAAACTGCTCACTCATGCCTGATATATATCTAGGTGTTGTACCATAATGGTGTAGTAAATGTCATCAAATAATTTGTGTTTGGTCAAGAATCAAGACTCAAGATTATATACCCAACATATTAATGACCCTAGTATACACTTATCAGGCTCTAGGGTAATCTAATATATTTTAAATTTCTGATAATCAGATTTCCTTTGGAAGAAAGGAAGCTTAATTAGGTATACTTTGTTGGGCTAATCAAGATTTAAAAGATTGACCTTTCCTTACTAGTTAATAAAGAATTTGCCTCACTTGTATGACAAACTTAGGCTAATTAAAGGATAAAAAGCAATAAATAAGAGCCTTCATGTCATATAAATCCATCATGTTCAAAAATATATATCTATAAGCATACTTTCTCTATATACTGAAATTAAAAATGACTATATACATAAAATGAAAATCCCAAGAACCACTCGCTACATCTATTAAAGCACCCATCAATGGCTCCAAAGTACTTTCGACGCCAATTCTTACTCAGAAAGAGTGGAACAATAACACCCCAAAAACCCAATGCATAACAGATCTTGGTAAGAGTGTAGAAGATATGGTGGTCAACTAAAGGAAATGTCCTCCGATTAAGGTTTAGTTGAGTTGAGTATCATCAATCAAGAGCTTTGCCCCTTTTTGGTCAGCGCCTTAGCACTGGAGTCCAACACAGTGAACCCAACAAGAGAGGATTCATTGACACATTTCACATTGACAAGTTTATGTGTAAATTGGAATAATGGATGACCCAAGTCCAAAAGGTGGACCAAGCCTCAAAGGCCACAATAAAGCACAAAAAAGGAATATGCAGAACTACAGACTGTGCTACGTCCACAGCCTCACCCTTACCAAGACCATTGGTAGACTTTGGCTTTCACACAAAGCATATTCTCTCTAATGTTATGTACCAGAACTCCAGCTCCAAAAGGAATATGCAGTATCCTCAAGGACAGAAAATAGTTTCATAAAAAAATGAAACAAATAAGCATAACCATAAGACCAAATAAGCAAACTGACAGTGATGGAAGCAACTATCTTTAATAGAACCCCTCATCAAGGGTTGTGGTGTAATGTTCTGGTGGGTTAACAATGCTTCTGCTCACAAGTAAATAAATAAATAAATAAAACTTTCTGCTCATCATCCCCTGGTTGAAAATATAGTACTACTTTAAAAATGTTTGAACTTAGCTATAATCAGTTTTAGGATAGTGGTGGTGTTGTTTAATAATGGTGTTCCAGAGGTGTATCTGGATGGGGGAAAAAGATTGATCCCAGTTTGTATTATGCTACAGAGCGTCTGAGAATAAGGCAGTGGGAATACAAGAAAAGAATCATGCTTTTTTATAAATAAATATGTATAAAAATAAGATATCAGATTTACAATGACTAAGGTGACAAGACAAAAGAACATAAACAAAAACAGAGAAGTACCTACCATTAAAAGATTACACAAATTACACATATTTTACACACAACATCCATGCCTTATCCCAACTAGGGAGTTGGATACATGAATCTAGTTTCGAGTTGCTATGAGGATCAACTGTTTCTTCGAGGGGTGAAAAAGAAAATTAGAGTAACATAGAGATAGTCACCTGTTTCTTCGAGCTGCTATGAGGATCAACTGCAAAATGAATTTCATGCATAAGCCGTTCAATCACTTGACCTACTTGAACTATGCTGTGCAGATCTCAAAACAGAGATGAATGCTTTAGTATCAGTTAAATCAGTTATTCATAAAACTTTTTATATCTTATTCAAGTGAAAATCATTTTACCCTTATAACAGGCAGTACCTTTAGTTAAAAGTCTTCAATTTTTAAGGTAGCTTTCCTTGTTCATTGGCTATTTTCTGGGGAATTTTTGGGATTGATTATTGCTTGATCTGATGGTAAAACATTGGAAAATATTGGGCTGAAAAGCATGAGAATGGGGGTTCCAGATTTAAGGGCAGCCACTTTGTGAGAAAAAGAAGGAGGAGAACAAAAAAAAATGACTAGAGGTTAGGATTGACTGTTCCTACTCCTAGTTCCATCCCTCCCAAGGCCCTGTATCTCCAGGACCAGCACTGGGTAATGGCCTTTTTGCTGAGAGAATGGAATGAAATTCAGAATGACATGGTCTACCCTAGCCAACTGGAATGCTCCAGACTATACACATTAAAGACAAAATGTGGCACACCATTTGAAATGAATAAGCAACAGAAATACCTTCAAGGAGTTGGTATAAACCAGTATTAAAACTGCACAGGTAGGATTAGTTATTTTGTTTATATTATTGATGTATCAGGTAGAAGTATACAACATTCTTGTATCTGTCTATTAGAATTTGTAGAGAGAGATAATGCTCTAACAAAAGGGAGGAAGAAAGAAAAAAGAAAATGCTAACAAACTTATAACTAACTCATAACTAATCTTGGTCAGCCAATCTTGGCTAATCGTGACTAACTTTGTGAGGTGCTGGTGTAGTCTCTAATAGCCCCCCTCAAGCTGGAGCATACAAATTTTGAATGCCCAGCTTGCGGATTGAACTATTAATTGAGTGAGGTGGCAAGGGCTTAGTGAAACAGTCAGCTAATTGGCCTTCAGAAGCTATAGGCATTAGGTGAATCAAACTAGCTTGCAACTTTTCCCGTACAATGTGGCAATCTATGTCAATATGTTTTGTACGCTCATGAAAAACTGGGTTATGAGCAATGTGAAGAGCTGATCGATTGTCACAGAACACAAGAGCAGGGGCAACTTGAGGAATATGCAAGTCTTTGAATAAATAAGTAAGCCATTGAACTTCACATGTAACAGCAGCAAGTGCACAATACTCGGCTTCGGAGGAAGATTTGGAAACAGTTTGTTGCTTCTTCGATTTCCAAGATATCAAACTATCTCCCAGAAAAACACAGTGGCCGGTGATAGATCTCCTGGTATCAGGGCATGAAGCCCAATCTGAATCTGAGAAGGCTTTCAACTGTAGAGATGATGAAGCAGAGAAGAACACTCCTTGGCCAGGACAAGCTTTTAAGTATCGAAGAATTCTATGCGCGGCTTGTATATGAAGATCTGTAGGGCAATCCAAAAATTGAGAAAGATGCTGGACAGCAAAACAAATGCCTGGCCTTGTATTGCATAAATAAATTAATTTTCCAACTAATTTTCTATAAGAGGTAACATCTGGTAAAGGGGTACCAGTATCTTTATCAAGCTTTTGAGAGGTAATCATAGGATTAGATACTGGCTTGCTGTTTATAAAACATGTTTCCTCCAAGAGATCAATCACATACTTCCTTTGGCTTAGATTGATGCTAGTTGTGGATCTGGCAACTTCTAAGCCAAGAAAGAATTTGAGTTGGCCGAGGTCTTTAATTTTAAAAGTATCATGTAAGAATTTTTTGACTTTATTTATCAAATCAATGTTATCACTTGCCAAAATTATATCATCAACATAAGTTAACAAAGCTAAAAAATGAGAACCGGTTTGTTTTGTGAACAGAGAAGTATCAAAAACTGCCTGAGTGAATCCTTGAGACAACAAGGCATCAGTGAGTTTTTGATTCCATTGTCTACTTGCCTGCTTAAGACCATAGAGGGACTTAGTTAATCTGCACACTTTAGAAGGATCAGATGTTTCAAAACCTGGGGGAAGGGTCATGTAAACTTCTTCATGTAAGTGCCAATTTTAAAAAGGCATTGTTAATATCCAATTGATGCAGGTGCCAATTTTTAATAGCTGCAACGGCAAGTAAAGTTCTAATAGTTGTTATTTTTGCAACTGGGGAAAAAGTATCAAGATAATCAATGCCATTTTGTTGAGTATAGCCATTGGCAACTAATCTGGCCTTATACCTTTCAATGCTGCCATCGGCGTGATACTTGGTTTTGAAAATCCATTTGCAGCCTATAGGATGTTTTCCTGTAGGTAAGTCGGTTAAAACCCAAGTATTATTTTGTTCTAATGCTTTGATTTCAAGTGCCATTGCATCCTTCCAGCATTGCCATTTTATAGCCTCATTGTAAGTTCTAGGATCTTTGGTTTGAGAGATTTTAGTAGCAAAGATCCTATGAGAAGAAGATAATTTGTGAGTGGAATAGGTAGAGGATATGGAGTGAGGGTTGGCGGTTTTGAAAATAGAATTGGCTTTAAGATTTGGTATTTGACAGTGATATTGGTCGAAATATGACAGAAGTGTATGAGGTCTGGATGATCTTCTAGGTTGAGTTTCATGATGTGTACTTTGTCTGACATCTGGCGAAATGTTAGTAGAAGGGGATGAATCAATGGTAGTATTATCTATAGTGGTAAGAGGTGGTGACAGATTAGTAGGTGAATGTGTAAAGGAAGGTGGAGAGGGTTCTGCTAAAGGAACTTCATATTCTGTTGGTAGAACAAAGTCTGAATTATCTGTTAAAAGGGGATTAGAGTAAAAAGGGAAAGAGTATTCATGGAAATGAACATCTCTTGAGACAATGACCTTTTTAGTTCTGAAATTATACAGACGAAAACCTTTAGTTGCGGAAGGATAGCCAAGAAATACACAAGGATCAGCTCTAGTGTCAAACTTGCTTCCATTTGTATCAAGCGTAGAGGCAAAGCAAAGGCATCCAAAAACTTTCAAATAATCAAATGAAGGAACAGTATGGTAAAGAAGTTGAAATGGAGTTTTGTTTGAAATAACTGGGGAAGGAGTTCTATTTATTAGATAGACTGCATGAGAAATACAGTCAGACCGGAAGGAAAGGGGAAGATGCGATTGGAACCTGAGAGCTCTGGCAATATTCAAAATATGTTGGTGTTTTCTCTCAACAATAGAGTTTTGTTGAGGAGTATATACACATGTAGTTTGATGAACACTGCCTCTTGAAGCATAAAAATCAGGCATGTTAAATTCTAAAGCATTATCAGATCTAATACATTTTATTTTTGCAGAAAACTGAGTTTCAATCAAGAAACAAAAGTTTTGAATATACTGTCTAGCTTCAGATTTAGTTTTCATAAGGTATATCCATGTATATCTACTCTTGTCATCAACTATTGTCAAAAAATATTTATGTCCATAGAATGAAGGAGCAGAAAAAGGGCCCCATATATCAATGTGAATCAAATCAAAACAGTTTGCAGAAGTAGATTGACTGATGGGGAATGAAAGTTTTCTTTGTTTGGCATAGTGACATATAGAGCAATAATCTGAAGATGGTAGTGATATAGAATGATCCAATTCTCTCAAAAGTTTCAATCGAGTATTGGACAAATGCCCCATCCTAAAATGCCATATATCAGTGGCATTAGGCTTATTACAAAAGGGAATAGAAACATAATTGCAAATAATGGAAGAATTACAAGAAACAGAAGGTAGGACAAGCCTGTAGAGGCCATTAACCTTTTTAGCTAGTCCAATCATCTTCCAGCGTTGATGATCTTGGAGGATACAAAGATTGTGTTGAAAAATGAGACAATAAGGATATGAATCAGTAAGCTTGCTAGTAGATATAAGATTAAAGGAAAAATGAGGTATATAAAGAACATTATGAAGTATAAAATTGGAAGAGAATATAACAGTTCCTATGTAAGAAACATAAACGTTTTGATTATTGGGTAAAACTACATGTGTATTTGTGACAGGTGTATAGGTTGAAAAATTGGATAAGCTATTGGTTATATGATCAGTGGCACCGCTATCAAGAATCCAGTGTGTTTGATGAAACTTATTATCATCAATAGGAGGAATCTTGTTGTTTGCCATGTTGACTTTACCAGAAAAGGTTGATCAAATTGAACTAATTTTTGTGAAATCGATGTATGCAAGCGGAAGACCAAAGGAAAACTTTCTGAGAAAAGAAAAATCTGTCCAAGAGCTTCCACCGATGTATGCAAGTGGAAGATCGAAGGGGTGCCGATAATCAAAACATGCAACGCCAAGAAAGCTTTGCCGAGATTATCCAAATGAATCTTGATCTAGAGGGACCTGCTACGCACCCAAGATCAACAAGGATATGATCCATATAAATGAAACATACTTCTCAAGTGAAGTTGTACGTAAACAGCATGAAATCCAACCAAAAGAAAATACACTGTCTTGCAACTATCTCCAAGTGCTCAGAAAATACACTTGCATTCAGAAATACAGGAAAAGAAGAAAGTCAAAGGAGTTCTTAATATAGCTTACTCCAAAATAGAGCACGAAAAAAAAAATACAGTAACAGTAATTCGGAACTTGTATTACCGCGGGAAGAACCACAATATCAGAAACAATTATAATTAACTCAAATATATAAATTAACTGAATTAATGTCTAGAATTCCAAGAAACCATTAATTTCTCGAGGATTCATCCTTTTCTTTCTTACTGTAAAGAATATCAACATCTGTATATCGTCAATCATGGAAAAATAAAATTTCAAGAAAACATCGCAAATCAGGCACCAAGGAAATCAAAAGAATGAACAACAGGCACAATAAGGCGTAAAAACCTGCACAGGAAGATGAAAAGCGTAAGTTAATCAATTCTGAGAATTATTGGTTGTGTGTGTTGAAGAATTCAGTTTGGGGAGAGAATGTCGGAGATCACGCCATGAGAGAGCGAGACTGCAAGAAAAGAAAGAAAAAGGAGCAGAGAAGAAGATTTGTCGAGGGAAGGATGAATAGAAAAGAGGGATGTAAATAATGGAAGTATCTTTGATTGATGACGCTGATATAAGACTTAATATCAGATTCAAGAAATCAGAGACCCCAGCATAAGTGAGAATAATCACAAAGAGAACTAGAAGGTGATTCGCAAGGACTCGGCTAAGAAGACTGCGAAGAAGTCCCGAGTGAAGGCTTTCGTCAAGCTTGTGAATTACACCCACATAATGCCGATCTCAAGGATGTGGTCACCCTCGACGCACTCCAATCGCGGACAAGAAGGTCATGGCTGCGAAGGAGGTCAAAGCTCGGTTGGAGGAGTGATTCAAGACCGGGAAGAACAGGTGGTTCTTTACCAAACTCAGGTTCTAAGTAAGAGGCCAAAAGAAAATTACCTCAGTTGTTATATCGATTGTAGGATTTCCCATTTTGTTAAATGATAGAATTTTAAATTGGGTTCTGAACCCATATTTTTGGATGGTGTTGAGAGTTCAATTTGGTCTTGATATTTCTGTTTGAACAGTCTATATATGTTGATAGTTCGCTCTAGAATTCTTAAAAAAAAAAAGAACGAACAAAAGATACAGGCAAACCACTTCCCAACCAATATGTGGTCAATAATATAAACCGTCGATCTATGAAACAAAAATGAGTAGCACAACAGATCAATTGAATAATCGAAACCTAATACAAAGGAAACCAGAGATCAAAATAGAGAAGATACTTAGCTGTTCAAAGAAAGAATCAAAATCAAGCAAGATGATAGAGAGCCATGCAGGAGAAATAAAAGAACAGAGGAGTCTGCTGGTGCCGAACAGCAACAAGCTCCAAGAAACAAAATCAAATATTCTTGAACGCGTCTGTGACGATGGCGATGCCGGAAAACGATATAGCAGAAGCTGAGGAACGCTCTGATACCATATTAGAATTTGTAGAGAGAGATAATGCTCTTTTTTAATCTGAAGAGTAATACAGAAAGGGTTTATATACAGCGAAGCAAAAGGGAGGAAGAAAGAAAAAAGAAAATGCTAACAAACTTATAACTAACTCATAACTAATTTTGGTTAGCCAATCTTGGCTAATCGTGACTAACTTTGTGAGGTGCTAGTGTAGTCTCTAATACTGTCCATTTATTTACTTACAGTGCCTTCATTTCTAAGTATACTTGTTCTCTCTCTCTCTTTCTTTCTCTCGAATCTGTGGCTCAACAGAGTTGCTGTATACTCTTGATACAGTGTCAACACAATTGATATTTTGAACCTCGGTATTTTGGATTTCAAGGGTAAAAATCTGAACCAGTGAATCCCCCCTTTCCTCTACGAAACCCTCTGAGAATCATCGATCCAATCCAGTGTTTTGAAAGGTGAAAACTGGATTCGGCTGCCTGGTACAACCAGTTCAACTGGACACTTTTTGGTTCACAAATATGAATCGCATGGAATACAATGACCATTGTCTTCAGTAAAAATGCACCATTATTGTACTATAAAGTTTCTAAATTAATTTTACTTAACTAGCTCTTGGTCTTCTGCCTCTTTTTAGTTATGTATACCAGTTTATCAGTTAATCCATGGATTCATGCAAGCTGATGCAACAACCAAGCTAGATGAATCCCGGTTGAATAAGTCTTTTCTTTTTTTTATCTTTTCCCTTTTTATGTATACCGGTTTATCAGTTAATCCATGGATTCATGCAAGCTGATGCAACAATCAAGCCAGACGAATCCCGGTTGAATCAATCTTTTCCTTTTTTATCTTTTCCCTTTTTATGGTGATCTACTCATTGGAGGTAGCCCTTCCACGTTTATTTTGTAAATGTACCAATTGGAATGCCAAGCATTTGTTCTGTTGAATTAGTCGAACCATGAACCTAAGCTACTTCAGCCTCAATGTCAAATTTCAATGTCATTTGATTTGTTCAAACATTTTAATTTAGGGTAAATTACAAATTAGTATCGATCTTGGAAGACCAAAAACTGTTTGATTGAAATATTTTGCAGATAGATCTTGGAAGACCAAAAACTGTTTGATTGAAATATTTTGCATAGATCTCACAAAAGACAATAAAAGCTAGAAGACCATTTGATAATGTGAATGTCTTGAATGTGGGCCGATAAACTTTTCATTTAACATGTGGGACCCACATACATTTTCTAAGGTAGAACCCATATACCATTGGTGGACATGTATGTAGGGCCCATGTACTTTTTACAAGGTGGGCCCAACATACAATTGGTGGAGATGCATGTGGGGTCCATGTGTCGACATGTATGTGGGTTCCACATACATTTTACAAGGTGGGTCCGACATGCTATTGGTTAACATGCATGTGGGTTCATGTGTCGACATCTATGTAGGGCCCACATACATTTTACAAGGTTGGCCCGACATACCATTGGTGGTCATGCATGTCAGGTCCATGAGTGGACATGTATGTGAGGTCCACATACATTTTGCAAGGTGGGCCCACATACTATTAGTGCACATGCATGTAGGGTCCATGTGTAGACCCTAGGATTCTAAACAGCTCGAAGCCCACATGGAAAGACTTGCCAAACGCGGCCTTACAAAAATGGTGATGTTCAGGTTTCCCTTTTTCCCTATTCATCTTCTTCTATTCATTGCTTAGGACATGGTTTTTGAACCACCATTGACCTGGAGGGTCAAACTGTTCAACTTGGGAATCATCTAGGCAATTGGTTTTTTTTTTTACCCCAAACCTAGTTCGTTGCCAAAAACTGTTGAATCGATCAATGATCTATTGACTCAGGCGATCAAATTGTTGACCCGTTCAATGATTTTTATTTGTTTTTAAATTTTAAATATTTTTTATTTTTTGTCAGAGTGGGCCATCCGTTTAGACCATACAATCGAACTGTCAACCTAGAAACCGGTTGTTAGAATAGTTCTAGTTCTGGCTCCTTTTTAAAAACATTGGTTTAGAAAGGCTTAAGCCTTGAGGCGTGAGGTGTGTGCCTTGAAACGAGGCATTCAAGTTTTGCATCATGGCCTAAGCCTCACAAATTTGGTTTGAGGCTTAAGCCTTTGTCAAAAGGAAGTGTAAGCCTCAAGCCTCAAGGCATGAAGCGTAAAAAAGTATAAGCCTCAAATATCAACATTATTTAATTACTAATTTCATGCAAAAAAATACATATTTCATGTACTTTTTATAAGTCAAATATATAGAAGCAGCACTACTTTAACAACTATGAGTCAAATAAAAAGAATAAAATGAAAAATCAATATGACAAATCAGGTTCTATTAGTTTCTCTTAGTATTTTAGCCTTAATTAAGAGAGACCAATGCAAAAAAAAGGGCCCATCAAGTTATTAGTTTCTCTTGGATAAATCAAGTGGATTTCTTTCTTAATATTCTAATTTAACATCTCAAGTTTTTTGTTTTTCTCATTTGTTTCCTAAATAGATTTGTTTTTCATTTTATTAATTTTGTTTTGCATAGATCAAATCAACTAATTTGTTTCTTTTCTTCACAACTGTTGGATGACCATAATTCCAATGTCCATTATATAGAGATGATTCTTCATATGAATAATAAGAATAATTTTGTCAGATTGCATTTTGAAACATAAAATGTAGAATACTTATAATTGTTAGATGATTAATTATTATTTTATTTAATGCTTAAAGCTTAAAACTAATTGATTATAAACTTCTGTTTTATGGATATTTTAACCTTCCATCATACTAACATGGTATATTACCTGTTATTTTTACCTTCCCTCACCTTTTTGGGGCACTATGCCTCAACTACACCTTTAGCTTTTTAAAACCTTGCTTCTACCTCCATATGTAAACTTTCATGTAGTTGTTCTTGTTCCATACATAGCCAATTGCGGTCAGGGGTTAGGGGAATTTTCCAATGGTCTAGATATAGTTTTGTGGAGGTAGAAAAGCACAAACCACCCCCATCATTCATACATGTGGTTTTTTCAAATCTATACACATGTCATTTTCTCAGAAGTTGTTAAATCCCACAACCCAGTACCACCATTCAAACAAATGGCATTCTCATTTTCTAGAAAGCTAGACAAGTGACAATTTCTGAGAAATTCATGTTAAAACCCACAACCCACTACCAGGTTACTACTCACCACCATTCAAACACATGGCCTTTTCATTCTTCTAGAAAATCTAGACATGTAGCATTTTATGAGAAGTTGCTACTAAAAACCACAACCCATTACCACCATTTTCAATCCATTCCTAAAAAAATGCAAAAGTGGTTATCCACAACCACTTCTGCCTACATTTTATCAATCTCACTTAATCATTAGCCCTCTACATATCATAACAAAAGAAAATTATCCATATTCTAATAATTATTGAAAATCTACTATTTGAAATATGTATTTTTTGAAATTATAATAATTATTTAAAATACTAATAAATATAAATTTAACAGTATTGATTCCATTGATGTAAAAATAACATTGCTAATTCCCCATACTTAGTACAGGGTCATTCACTACTATATATATATATATATTAAAGGAAGGTTTCCAGGCTACAATCCCCACCATTTATGCATTTTTTGAGAAGTTGTTATTAAAGCCCACAACCCATTATCATTATTCAAATAAGTGGACTTTTCACTTTCTAGAAAGCTAAACATGTGGCAGTTTCTGAGAAATTCTTGCTAAAGCTTACAATACACTACCAAGTTACAACCCCCCATCATTCAAACACATGGCCTTTTCATTTTTCTGGAAAACTAGACACATAGCATTTTATAAGAAGTTGTTGTTAAAGCCCACAATCCACTACCACCATTTTCAATCCATTTCTAAAAATGTAGAAAATTCAAAGTGGTTATCCACAACCACTTCTGCCTATATTTTATCAATCTAAGTTAATCGTTAACCATTTACGTATCATAACTAAAGAAATTATCCATATTTTAATAATTCTTGAAATTTTATTTTTTGAAATAAGTATTTTTTGAAATTTTAATAATTATTTTAAATATTAATAAATATAAAATTAACATTATTGATTCCATAATGTAAATTTAACATTCGACACAATTATGTTTTTTCTTAACAGGGTTAGCCCATTCCCCATCCCCTTAACCCCCAACCTTATTTATAGTGGTATTTGATCCCAGGTCTCTAATAAATCAAAGATCCCATTGACTAAGCCATCATAAATTAGCAACTGAGCATAAAGTTATGGCCTCCAAAAATTTTTATATTCATTTAGTGTATAACCCATGACCTAATGGCTGTATTGAATAGGTCAATGGTTCAACTAGCCGAGTTGAATGATTTTTTACCAATCCCTAGATTTTAGGAGAATTGGACAAGGAATCATGGCCTGGTGATGGCTCAAACAAATCAATTGTTAGGACCAATAATGGGTTAAAAAGACCATCACAATGATGAGATGATGATCAATACACCTACACATTTTTTTATCATCCCAAAGAATTCAAATTGTTATTGTAGCAAAAACACGGAAGACACATAAGTAAGCAACTGCCTATTTGTAGGAATTGCAACAACTTCCCAACCCCGAACCCAATTACCCTGTCTTCTCCGCACAACGTATCCCTTAAAATATGTCTTTCTAATTATAAGTCATTACAAAGCCAAAAGCATTTCTTTTTGGTATTATACTCGAACCTATGCTCATATTAGGCTTTGTGGTAATCTAACATTTCAAATTTCTCATTATGAGATTTTCCCTGGATTAGGTATACATAAACTTTGTTGGCAAATTAAACTTAAAGATGACCTTTCCTTGCTAGTAAACAAAGACCGCCTCAACACTTGTCAAACTTAGGCTTAAAAGACTTCTTAACAAGGATTCTTTTACATTTGATTATGTAAAAACTACTACAATTTTACTTCAAGGAAGAAATAAGAATATATATATCCATTTTGTTTGGATGCTTTCTTACTACCAAATAAAGCATAAACATCTACATTGGAAATTAAAAATAATTATGTACATAAAATGAAAATCCTAACAACCACTCCCTACACCTCTCAATGCACCCATTAATGATTCTGTAGTACTTCCGGCGCCAATTCTTGCTCAAAATCAGCGGGATAATAACACCCCAAAAACCCAATGCATAACAAATAGCCACGTATGAATAGAAAAACAAGTCTTCGTCCATGACCTTGGCTAACAATTTCTTCTTCCCACCTCCAAAATCATTGCCTTTAGGCCTTGGTGGCTGGTTCTCAAACAAAGAACAATTCATTTGCAGCGGTGGTCCACAGAGTTCATCATTACCAATATAACTATTGTTGTCAAAAGTAATGAAGTGATCTTCATAAGGGATCCTGCCTGAGAGGTTATTGAAGGCCACGCTGAAGGTAGAAAGAAAATTGAGTTTGGTTATTTGATGTGGGATCCTTCCTTCAAGTTTGTTGTGAGAAAGATCCAAACTTTCCAATTGTTCTAGATTTTGAAAGGATTCAGGGATATGGCCGACCAAAAAATTATTAGAAAGGTTCAATGAGTGGAGTTCTCTCAGGTCTCCTATTTCTATTGGAATTTGACCTGTTAATTGGTTCTTTGACAAATCAATCCCAGTCATGTATCGCAGAGGCTCACCCTTGTAAGTGTGCATGTGACCCTTGGTAGCAAAATTGATTTTGACTTCACTACTCCTTCGAAAGCCTTGATCAAAATAAGGGAGAAACTCTTGAAGTTCAGATTTTTTCTTCCATGATGTAATGCTGTTGAGACAAGAAGGTATGCTCCCTGACAAATGGTTATTTGAAAGATCTAATGTGTGCAACTTTGTCATTTGGCATAATGACTCTGGTATTTGGCCAAAAAAATGGTTTCCTCTTAAGTGAAGAACACGCAAATTTGGAAGAATAGGCAGATGATTTGGAAGATAGCCAAGCAAATAGTTTTCACTTAGATCCAACATGAAAAGAGATCGGACACTTGACGCATTGATTATGATTGGTTTTGTGAAACAGTTTCCTTCAAGACGTAAATTGGCTAGTCTATCCATTTTGGTAAATATTGGCATACCATGCAACTTGTTGTTTGATAAGATTATTTGTGACAAGAGGGTTTTGTTTTGGGATAATCCACTAGGCACTTCTCCTATTAGGAAGTTGTTAGACAAGTCTAGAACTCCTAATTGCCACATCCTATTGAACGAAGACGGAATCTTGCCTTCAAGTTCATTCATTGACATGTTAAGAAAATGTAGGCTGGGAAAGAAGTCACCGATATTTGTAGGAAGCTGCCCTTCAATTTGGTTGTCAGAAATGTCAAGAAAGGTCAATCTTGTTGTTTCATTTTGGAAAGGCATTTTTGGAAATTGGCCAACTAAATGGTTACCCCTTAAGGACAAGTGTTTTGGTGAAGTATTATTGTACAACAATGAGGGAGAAATGATTCCTTGAAGAGAGGTATGAACTAAAGACACTACCCTTAAGTTATATTGAGTGGAGAGGAAATTTGGAATGACATTATGACTCTTCCTATTGAGGTTGCAATTGTCTAGATTTAAATAATTTAGTTGGAAAGATGGAATCCAAGATGGTGACTCAGTATCAACATCCAAGTTATAATTGTTGGAAAGATCAATTTCTGTTAATTGGGAGAGATTAGCAAAGATAGAGAAGGAGAGCTCTCCAAAAAACTGGTTATTTGAAAGAACAAGGGACTCTAGTGAAGTTAGGTTATCGAAAATCAAAGAAGCAATATTGCTTGTAATTTGATTATAAGAAAGATCCAATTCTTGTAAGTTCCTCAATTGATAGAGCCCTGTAAAGAGAATATAAGAGACGTATCCATAAGTATGAAGATGTATTATACTATATTTCATATAAAAAGCTTGCATTTCTCAATCAACTATGAGTTAGATCTTTTCTTTCGCTAAATGGCATGGCATTCATTACTGAGTACTATTAATTGAACCTAGAAGAAGTTTTTGTTTAAAAAAAGATGATACCATAATATACCTGAAACTAGAAGAAGTTCTAGTTTAAAAGACAAAAGAAGTTATTTTAGAAAGGATGTTTGTTAAAGGGATATTATCTGAAATTTATAGTTATCAATAATCCATTTTCCCTTTCTTCCTATGCTTGACACCATAATATATTAAACTTTGCAACAAATAGGTGCTTTACAAAGAGGTGAACAGGAGATCTCTGAAGTTGTCTGTAAAAAGAAGGCCCAGGTGAAAATTGTTGTTTTGTGGACTTTAGTGAAGAGACAAGTTAAAACTTTTAGTGAAATTGTAATTCTTTAATGGTTCTTATATAGGATTTCCCTTGGTCATTCAAATTTCAAACCAGTATAGCTTTTAAGTGGGTAAAGAAGAAGGTTTTAATTAAATGCTTGGGTTTTGTACAATCTAATCTAGATCTGAAAACCAAATCCAGTCTTCAATTGTGATCGGACTATCCCTTGCGGTCTAGACAGTTTACTCACCCACCCCTATCCCCAAGTTTTTGGACAATTGGCAATCGTCGGTTATCACTAACAAGAAATTTGAAAAGACTATTTTACCCTTCAATTCTCCTTAAATTTTCAAAACAAAAACAACCACCACTCTATTTCTATTTTTTCAAAATGGAAAAAAAGACGAAGCAGCATAAACCTAGCTTGACTACGCAACATCAAATCCTCTTTTGTGGTTTGTAATCTACTCGGTGGGAAAAAGAGGTTTGTAAATGGAATGACGTCTCTCTCCTAGATTAGTTATTGCAGACCGATGCTCACTCCAAATGACTTTTGGGAAGAAATTAACAATTCCAAGTCTTCAAGAGTGCATGGGACGGTATTTGTGTTCTCAGCCCCACAATTATTATCACCTTCTATTTATCCACTTCTTGAGCTATTTATTTCATCCAGAATCCAGCTCGTGGGACTGTGTGATACCCTTTTTTTGGCTTTGGGGAGCTAGCATTTTTTCTTCAATTTGTGTGCTTTTATACAATTCCTGTGTTTTTTTTTTCTAATTTTTGCTACTTTTAACAAAAAATACATGGTATCTTGCAAGGTTAAAATACTGTAAAATATATTGTCTTTTGTATTTTTTTATTTCTTTTGGTTCTGATGAACTTCTATATTTAATAATTTCTACAAAATTTGGCTCAAATTATATCTTTTTTATTATTTATGCATAGAGGAGAAAGGATGAGAGCCCAGGAAAATGCATTTGATGCCGTGTAATTCATATTGGGCCAAAGAATTCCAGCGGATGAGAGTGATACTGGAAAATAAACAATGAAAGCGCTATGACTATTGACTACTGATATCAACTTGTAAATCACGTTGGACCCAGAATCATCCCAATTATTAATTGAGATAATTGGGTCTGAACCCTATTAGCTATAATCAATTTTTACAGAAATTTCAAAATGTGTAAAATTTACGATAATATTTATCAGTAAATCATCATCATTATATTATTTCCAATAATTAACAGTAAATCATTTTTAATTATGGGTAAATTATTAGAAATTATTGAAATTGTAAGAATTATTTGTTTGAAAATTAGTTTTTACAATTTCAAATCAGTTAATTTCATTTGAAATAATAAAAATAATAATATAAAATAGAATGATAATTAATAACATTAAATATATTTGAGAAATATTTAATAAAATCCACTAAAATAATAAAATTAAAAATCAATTATAAAATAACAAAGACTAGTTAAAAACTAATAGCACTAATTACTAAAATTAATAGAAGGTGATAAAAATAATAAAGTTAAATTAAATTTACCTACAATACATAACCAAAGGATAATGGTTGGGTCGAACTTGGTCTCACTCAAACCAATTTGCATATATAAAAGAAACTTTCAAATAAAGAGTAGGTAAGATTGATATAATTGGTACCTGTTGGTAAACTTGTAAGCTTGTTCCCTGACATGCCGAGTACTTCCAGTGAAGAGAGGTTATTCAAAAGGCCTGAGGGTAGGCCTTCATTGGTTAGAGAGTTATCGTGTAGATCCAATTCCTTGAGATTCTTGAGTCCACCCAATCCTGCAAATGTAAATGCACCACATATATATTAAACATTAATTATTGTAACTACGTAAACAGGGCTTAATTAAATAAGTGGATTTATTTATTAACAATCCACATCCGAAAATTTAATTACGTACCTTTGGGAATAGCCGGTAAGCCTTTGAGATTATTAAATGATAAATCTAGCGTCTCCAATGAAGAGAGATTATGTAGTAGGCACCTTGGGAGTTCTCCATTGCCGCCCAGATTGTTGGAATACAATCTCAATTCTTTAAGGTTGCTGATTTGACATATTGCTGATGTATAGCATGAATGCACCGGTAAATTTAAATTCATATGTAATTAAGGATCCAAGATATATAAAGAAGGGGAATGCATGCTTGTTCGTGTATTAATTATACCCTTTAGAAATGCTGAGGAAGCATTGAGATTATTGTATGATACATCAAGCATTTCCAACGACGTCAAATTACGTAGGCATAGTAATGCTTTGCTATTACTTCTAATATCATCGTCATCACCCAAATTGTTTTCAGAGAGGTACAACTCTTTAAGATTGGTTGCTTGGCATAGTGCTGCAATAAAAGACATGAGTAGTAGTAGTGTTATATCCCAATGCAATGCATATATGAACCCACAATTAAGATCAAATTAATATATAAATTTTAATTTATACCATACCATTACTTACAACAGGTGACCAGGCATTGAGATCGAGATCTGCTAAATCAACTGATTCAAGATTATGGAACAACGGGCACCCTGCTAGTAGAAGTAGTACACTTTCCATATAATCATCATATCCCAATAGCGACAATCCTTTGACATTGGTGGTTTTGCATACACCTGCAAGCAATATATATATATATATATATATATATATATATATGAGAAAAGCATTAATTAATTGTGATTATCATCAATTATCATTGTGTTTTTCTTATATAATTCCTCTTTATACATATAAATATATAAACATACCGTTTAGGACACCGGACCAGCCCTGGGTGTAATTGGAAGTGATATATAAAATGAGATGAATTTGAATTGATGATGATGATGATGGTGAACCAACATTCTTGTTCGATAGAAGGCAGACGGGTAAGCTGTTACCTCTTGGTTCCATTACATAAAGATGTAGCGAGAGATTCCTGGCTCCACATAATGCTAAGACATACACCATGCACCAAAAACAAATTAAATATAATTAATTAAGCGTATCAATACTTAATTAATGCATAATTAATTACCTGTTAATGGTGATGATGAAGACATATTACGTTGCATAATTGATACGTATACTGCTTCTAAAGAAGGGAGAGCACGCCCTAGACAGCCAGGGAGTCCATCATGGTCAAGATCGTTCCACATCAGATCCCATTCTTTAAGATTGCGTAGTTGACACAATGCTGTGCAAGCCATGCAAATATTTATAAATACCCTTCAATTAAGCGTTATTTGTTCTGGAATATGGAATATGTATCTAATCCACCAACAGTTGGCCTCCATAAAAATTTAAGTAATGGAAAATTCGATCATTAATTAAACCCACAAGAGTATTGTATACTTTAATTCTATTACTTACTGGGAGTAGGAGAAGCAAAATAATATTAATTAGTAATTACCTTGTGGCATAATCCAACCTCCAATGTCGTTGTAAGATAGATCTAGGAATTGCAGGTGTTGGAAGTGAGTGAAAATGGTAGCATTTGGGTACCATTTTCCTACTACACCTGTAGCGTATACCATTTCACCAGAAATATCAATTCGAATCACGACCGAGGATTCATCACATTCCACCCCTCCCCATTCACAACAATTGTCTCCAACCCACGTTTACATTTTGGAGAATGGATTTGTAGGATGGTTATTATTGAGTAGCGAGTCTCTGAGTTGTAAGAGAGCCATCCTTTCCTCCTCCAAACAGTAGGAGTAGCCTTCGTGGCCTTGGCCTTGGCATAATAATCCACCACCAAAGTAATTAGAGAGAAGAAGAAGAAGAAGGAGGGTGACAGMATACAACCTCACCATCTTCTTACACCAACACCAACACCTCATCTCCATACTCGATGATCGCCTTCACTTTCAGTTAAATTAAAAAGGAGGGAATTAGCCTACTCAAGGGGATAATTCCAATCCCAACATTAATTATTGCAGACCGATGATCACTCCAAATGACTTTGGGGAGGTCAAGGTCAAGCGGATAAATCCAACTCCAAGATTAATTATTGCAGACCGATGCTCACTCCAAATGACTTTGGGGAGGTCAAGGTCAAGCGGATAAATCCAACTCCAAGATTAATTATTGCAGACCGATGCTCACTCCAAATGACTTTTGGAAAGAAATTAACAATTCCAAGTCTTCAAGAGTGCATGGGACTTTTTGCTACTTTTAACAAAAAATACATGGTATTTTGCAAGGTTAAAATACTGTAAAATATATTGTCTTTTGTTTTTTCATTATTTCTTTTGGTTCTGATGAATTTTTATTTTTAGTAATTTCTACTAATTTTGGCTCAATTTATATCTTTTTTATTATTTATGCATAGAGGAGAAAGGATGAGAGCCCAGGAAAATGCATTTGATGCCGTGCAATTCACGTTGGGTCAAAGAATTCCAGGGGATGAGAGTGACAATAGAAAATAAACTATGAAAGCGCAATGACTATTGACTAGTGATATCAACGTGTAATTCACGTTGGATCCAGATTCATCCCAATTATTAATTGAGATAATTGGGTCTGAACCCTATTAGCTATAATCAATTTTTACAGGAATTGTGAAACCTATAATTATCTGTCTTGGTAATAACTTAAAACTCCATTTTTAATAATACAATCTTAACAAAAAATGATTGAAAATTTTGTTTTATGTTAATAAATCAAGTGTTTTAATTTTAATCAAAATTATCTTATATATAACTTATTCAATTTATTCTTTTTAAACATAAAATACGATAAAAATAACAAAGAAAAACTAGTCAACTCAATAACCGGTTCAGAACAACAAGAACCCGTTCTGATTGAAAAAATAATCAAGAGTGCATGGGACCTTGATTAATTAATGCATACCGATGCTCATTCCAAATGACTTTTGGAAGAAATTAACAATTCCAAGTCTTCAAGAGTGCATGGGACCTTGGGGAGGTCAAAGTCAAGTCCGTAAATCCAACTC